GGAAAGACTGCCAGATATATATGATGGTGAGACTTAAGGGGTCCTACCCATGACTCCTGGGAAATTTAGATATGGGATTAGCACTAGAATGCCAGCTAGCTAATGAGAGCACAGTCCTAGACAATTAGTGTCCTGCACCACCACAAACACAGCCTTTTTCGTGCCTTTTCTTTAAGTGCACCTTTCTGGAAACCAGGAATAATAATGAAGTTTCTGTTAGGCACATACCAAAGCAGCAGTGTATAAGAGCAGATACATAAGTCATTGTTACAGTTCCAATTTAATCTGAAAGAATAATTGAGAAAGATGCAGTTTTTGGCTTTAATTGTTTTTAGTGTGAACAGTGATCACTTCATCATAGTTGAGTCATGTTTAGAAAATTTAAACAAGCTGCATGATTACTCTAGGAAGCATGGAATGGTTTGTTCAAATCGGTACCATCTGTGGACAGAAAAAGTTGGGGGAATTTTAGTCATTCTTGAGGAATGGAAATCTGATTCTCCATGCTAGAGTAATTGTAATCCTCTTTGTATCTGTAACCCAATAGCATAGTTGTCTTGAAATTGTCTCATTGAACACAATCATCAAGTGCAAGAGACACTGTGCCACTGGGTGTCACTGCTCCTCACTGCGGCCCTCAGAGTGAGGGATTCAGATCACATCTTTTCATATGTTCTAATGAGGGATTACATTTATATTTGATTTGTCTATTTAACCAATGAGATAAAATGGACTACATTTTAAACTGGCTCATATTTAAGGCTCTGATTCCATTTTAAGGATCTGTCTAGGCACTGACAGAGAAAATTTTCCTACATCTTCTGCCAACTGACCCTTTCTTTTGTAGGTTAGAAATATTTTGCTTATATGGGTCTTAGTAAACTGGAAAAATGATGACATAAAATAGAAATAAAAGCTTTTGTAGGAAAGAAGAAGTACTTGTCTAATCTGGCTGTTATCTTTATACCTGCAAGCTTATCTTTCGAAATGGTGGGTTTGATGTAGTATTACTCACCAAGATGATCACAGAGACTATCTTCAGCCTTGTGAGAGTAATTTGCATGGCTTCACTCTGTAGTGAGCAGGAAAATGGACACTTCCCTAGGGGACAGATGGAAAGAGGAACATCATTTTCCTGCACCTCGTTCTTTCTTTCCCCCGCTCTCTGGGAGTTTGTCTCTTTCCACCAAATACAAGGAGAGCTCACGGAATCTGGCTTTATTAGACTTTTGTTGTTCTGCGTGAGAGCCCACAAGTCAGAGCCACTGTTATTTTTCCTGATATCATTTCTAGTTCTGTGAAACTGCCAAGTGTCTTTTCTATCTTTACTGCAACTTTGCTAGCTCTCAGTTCTTTCTGATGGCATCATCCGTGTTGAAACTGGGGGAACAGGGTACTCTCCTTGGGAATGAAAGCCCACTGTGCTGGCTAGAACATAGGCACTGCTCTTTCTGCCTCTGACTAGCCTCTTTAACCTGCCTTGTTTTAGGTGCAGAGACTGCAGTTGTGCCAGTCATGTCTCTACCAGCTGCACATTTGAGCAAGAAAAAGTATGTATTTCCACCTTCCTCTTGGCACCCAGCAGGCAACAAGTTACTATCTACTTTATTCCAAGCCCCTGTTTCAGTATTTGATCCAGTCTTTCATTTAAATTGAAGTACAGTCCAATAATCAGTTTTCAGCAGATGGAAGTTAGTAAGGGTAGACTAAGAGGCATTAGAGCCAGTTGTTTCATCTCCATGTTGCATGCTTTCACACTTCTATTCCAAACCTGCCAATGCTGGCTGTTCCTCTCACAGCAAGAGTTCCTGGAGTTTTGCACCTGGGAAGGTGAGGTCATATTCCATATCTAAAAAAGAGTAATCCCCTCTGAGTGAGAAGGAAGAGAATTGACTTTTCTTAAATTCTTGTTATCTGTTCTGATGTCTTTGGAATTGCTGACTCTTTATTTTTTAATTCCTGGAATATATAGTATTGGGTCTTGAAAATACTTTAATTCATGTTCAGAGTGAGACCGGGTGGTAACTTTTATTTCACTCAAATAGTTTTATCCATTTTATCCCACATTTTATCATCATCATAATTGAGTGTGTAAGATTCATATTCTTTGCAGTATCTTAACAGATATTAATAACTTATATTACAATAGAGGATTTTTTTAAGGAAAAATACAGATTTTTTTTTTATAGTAACCATTGAACATTTCTCTGCCTTTATTTTCCATTAACTAATGATCAAAATAAGCCCTTTCTTGTAATTTGCACAGTAGCAAATACAGTTTATAGAGCTATTATGAAAATATTGCAGTGCTTATTTTTTTGAAAGTGGACAAACTGAGTATTACATCTCCAAAATGGTGATCAAGCAAGAATGTTACTACCTGTTTTGTTTTTATTTACTGCTTCCTGTACTTCTCCTCATGCTAATAACAACAGAGCAAAACAACTTTAATTTTGATGATATAGAGTGATAATATAGAGATGAAAGTTGTCTCCAGTGAAGATTTTTTCCTCAGTTTGCTCTTGTTCCATGTCTGCTTAGTGTGTAGCAGGGTGGGAGCATATGGGACTATTGCATGCTGCAATGTTGTGTACACATACATGAGAGCTGAGTGGAAGGACAGGGCAAGCACCCATGGTTCCTGTGGCTGACCCTTCTCCTGCAGGCTCCACCTGCTTTGGGCTCATTTGAAGGGATTTGAATTCTAAACTTTTTCATCATCACAGCTTGGTTTGACTCAGAATTTACATTTCTTGTTCAATATTCATATTTGGTGGAGAGGCTTCAGCTTGTTATATTATGGTGATTTTTATAAACAAATTGCTGCAGATGAAAGCAGAGATCAGATATTCCCACAAGGCTGAAAAAAAAAGGGAGGGTTTTCTCTTTCTTCCCCAGTAACATTGGTCTGGGATCCTTTTATTCTTTATGTAAGCCTTGGGGCTTCTTCAGTTTCAGTTTGAGGATGTATCGTGTGTTTTTCTTTTACCAGTGATACTTCTTCCCCCAAAGACTCTAAAGCACTCTTTAAAGCTAAGGGCACAAAATTATTTCTGAGCTGATTTCTCTGCACAGTTTTTGCCACAGAGAGTATTAGTATTATCTTACAGAGTCTTAGAGATAATATTAGCTTACTGTATGACTATGTGATATAGCACAAAACCATATGTTGCATCCAGTCTGCAAGAGCTGGGAGTACGCTGTTGGCTTAATATAGATATGGATAAATGTGTGTGCATGTGTGTATGTGTATGTATGTACATCCATGCACTACTTCTGTCTCCATGCACATGAACATAACCTGTGTATACCAATGTATACGTATGTATATAAATACATGGAAGCAAAGTTTATGGGAAGTGTCTTTTTTTGCTTTGTATTGCCGTACTAGTTAGCTCTTCCTGTTGGCGTTCTTTTAATTTGTTGTTTACTGAACAGCTTGTAAAGTACTTATATAAAGAAAGACAAACATATTGCATGTATTGATACTTTCCGTTCAGAAGGTAACACTTAGGGAATCTTGAGGTGGTGTTTGAGGATTTCATATGTTACTAAGAGAGAGGGAGACAAATGAGTATTTCTAAGAGAGAGGTGAGGAATCCCAGTTAGCAACAGCAGTAAAAGATGCTATGGGTAGGCCAAAAATAACTTTGCTTGGTATTCCCTCCCCCAGTTGAGACATAGCCGCAAAAGTAGCAACAGCAATGTCTCACCTCTCAAAGCTGCCCCTGCGTGCCACACCTAAAAGCATTTTTCTTTATTTCAAAAGCTATAGTAAATGTATGCCACCTATATATATAGAGTATGATTTACACCAATGGAATTACTCCTTATTAACCATATGGAATTGAATCTTGGTCTTTAGACATGCTTATTAAAATATTTTTTTAACACTGGATAAAAGGGTTATAGTTGCAATCACTTTTCATTCAAATGAAGATAGCTTACAAGTGTTTTCATTTGCAGTTCCTAGTGCTCCCAGGAATATTGTTTTTTCCAATGTGCAATCAACAAGTGTGACCTTGAATTGGAGATCACCGAAATCTATCCTTGGCTACTTTCAAAACTACAAAATTACCACACAGCTACAGTCCATCCATTGCAGTGACTGGGAAACTAAGGAATGTATTGAATATGAGATGCATCAATATTTATATGAAAATGTAGTGGATGACCGGATCGAAGAGACAGTGTATGGACTGAAAAAATACAGGTGGTACAGATTTGCAGTTGCTGCCAGTACGAATGTTGGTTATGGCAGTTCTTCACCTTGGATTTCTACGCAAACACTTCCTGGCTGTAAGTAAGCATGTTTGCCATGTGTCATAATGCTTTAACAATGTGGTGTTCACCTAAATAAGCAACAACACTTGGTAGACGTTATTTCTTCATAAAACTAGAATATTGGTGAAGTTAATAAGGATTTATTGCAACTCTTCACGTATGAAATATCACGATATAAGTCATGTGATAGGTATGCATACTTGACAGTACTTCAGATTTTAATGTCTTTTGGAGGGCCTACTATATTTACTGCTTACCCAACAGCAATTTCATTCCTCAACCTTACTCCACATCTAGAATTGGTAAGTCTGAATTTTGAGTACTTTGGGTTGATACGCCATTTTCAATCCACCTCCACATGTTGGGTGTGTCAATGAAAAGTAGTCCTTTTTTTAATTCTTTGACTAAAAGTCTATTCTCTAATGTCGTAACGCTTTCCTGAAATTCTGCTGTATGTTCCTGGCAATAGAATTTAAGCAATAATTTCAGAGGAATTATGATTTCTTTCCAATACGATATCCACCTAAAGAGATTACAAATTGCAGTAGCCATGTAACACCTACAGGACTGTCATGACGCATATTAGGACTGTCATGCCTCAGCGAGGATTTCGGTTTCCAAGTAAGACAAGAGTTAGTTGTCACAGATAAGTCATCACTAGATATTTGAGAGAAGGGGATGTGAAACATAAATTATTTAGGAAGTTGTCATGTTGACATATGACCTTCCCTCCCAGTCTGCAGCCAGCCTAGGTCAGAGCACATCTGAGATCGGGCCTCTGGCCCATATAGAACAACTGAGAACCACCATGAGTGGTCTGACTAAAGCACAGCTCCTTCACTCCTTTCCCCTTCCAAAGTAATCATAATAGAGATACCAAGGACTTAAAACAGCTGTGTACCAAGGACTATTCGATGGCCCACATACTTAATTTGTTCCATTCATGTTTTTACAATCATGTGAGTGAATCCAGATAATGCTCCTCATAGTATCTGTGCACTCTCTGTACAGTAGTACAGCCAGCTATCCTCAAATACCTTACAATTTTTCTCCTAGGTAAGGTAATATTGTTGTCTTCATCTGCAGATGAGAAATTGCAGTAGAGAAATTCTAAGCCCCAAAGGGCAAAGAGATTTGGACACTGTGATAGCGACCATGACAACAGTCCATTATTTCATGTAAAGCACAGAAGCAGTCCCGTGGACTGAGAAGTACTGGAATCGGCTGCGGTGTCATTCTCATGTGTACTTATTTTCTTTGTCCGGTGGTTCTTATGGGGATGCTATGCCTGTAAGTTAATGCAATATTTTAAATGAAAATGGGGTTAAAAAAACCCCCCAAAACATATAACCCCAAATGGAGCAGAAAATAGGTAACAGAATTTGTGCAACTCCTGAGCCAACAGCTCTGGGGAGGTTTCTTACTATAGATGGATAGATCTCAGCTGCTGACATATGCAAATACTTATCTTCAAAAAATTGTTGCTGAGTTTAGGAAAGTTAGGGATTTAAACTGGACAGAGAGGCAGATAATCAAAACACATATAATCACATAAAGTTAGGATCCTCTTTATGATTTCGTCTCTGGACAGTGACAATTTAGTTTAAGAGAGAACTATTTTCCTATCAGTCCCGCTGAGGAGATGGTAGTTAAAAGTATAAAAATCTCATTAGACTGCGCAAGCCCTTTCCATGCCAATACAGTGTTGTTCTCAGCAGTAGGTCCTCTGTGTGCTCTTTTTCTAGTTTAGCAAATGGTAGTGGGGTAGAAGTTCAAAAAGTTCCACCAGTTCTTCCAGCCCAAGCGTCTGGGGCTGCTGGCCTGTGTCTGTGGTGAGGGAAGTGGGCAGCAACAAATTTCCTGTGAGCTAAATCAGGCACACATCAAGAGATGAGCTGCCTATAAAACACACCGCCGTGGAGTCAAGGAAGCGAGGGCACTATTCCAGATACCATGGCTGGGTGCTGGTCTTTTTCCTGGGGTAATGGCAATCAGCTGAGGAGGTTAAAAAAAGAGGAACGCGACACGTCACAGCTGGGTAGCCAGCTGGCAGCTCCAGCATGCTCCAGCAGCACTGAGAGCCTCCCTGAGCAGCGGCTGATCTTTGGCAAGGGCAGGTTTCTAGCTACCTGACTGTATATTTTCCAAAGACTAGTCCTTAGAAAGATTGTTAAACAGACTAGAAGACCTCAGTTCCCCTCTTTCTCTTGCAAAGGGAAGAGAAATTCAGGATGCACAAAAAACTGAGCCAGCACTCTGGGCAGCCTTGCGGAGTGTATCCAGAGAACAGGTGTCGATCCCCCTCTCCTTTCCTTCGTGGACTGGGCCAAGCATCCTCTGGATTAGCCTGCTGGTACACAGCCAATATACATGGTCTGTTAGGGCTTAAGGGTGCTTAGCTGCTATGTAAAATAGCCTGGGTACTTAGCCCATAAAATCAATGGGAGTTGTGTTTGTAGATTTGAGGGCAGAAGTCGGCCACTGTTTCTGATTTTCAAGAAATGCCTCTGTAAGACGTTTCTGCCAAAAGGGAAGTTACCTTGGTTGTGAAATAATAGTCAAATTATTTTTCTTCAGAAATAATGGGTTCCCAGAAATTTTTGTTTCTCTCAAGCCTAAAGAAAATACTGTAGCTATTATACTCATATTCAGGAAGTTACTGCATTTAAGCTGAAAACTGTTAAACTTAGTTCCCAGGATATAAAAAGATGAAACTTCAGCAACAGCAAAAATTACATAACAGAAACCATAAGTATTCTTTACAATTGCTGAGGATTTGACTGTTGTGCTAAAGCAGAAATACCTTATAATTCTGCATATCCAGTGACTAAGGTGAGGATCTTAGCTATTTATTTTCATTGTTCATTATGAAGGTAAATTTCAGGCTACAGGAATTTTTTTTAAGATTCTTTAACTCATTTACAAGTTTCAAACAAAAAATAATGGCTGTGTTCTGTACGGAAAGTGGTTATAGCGTTACTCCATGGAAAATGTTATAGGTTGTTCAGTAGAGTCCAGTTCTCACATAACACAGATAAACTATTCAGCTTTCTGTCTTGCAGATTATCCTCACAGGAATTGTCCTACTGTCTCATAAAGTAGTTTGATGGCACTGTTGTTACTTAGCTGATGGATTACCCAAGAGCCAAGTCTACTCTGCAAGATGAAATATTTTCAACATAACCTAGATTTATATAGTTACCAGTACAGAAGATCACAGCATTGTGTCACAGTAAGGGAAAGGGCAAGAACTGTTTTCCATTGCTAAGAAAACTTTGTTCCCTCACACCTGCGCTTACCCCGAGTTTCACTTTTACATTTATAAGGAGAATAAGATTGTCCAAACTTGTGCTTTCTAAGAGAAAAATCACTTTAGAGGGTCAGTGTTAGGTGGAAAATGAATGGCAGTGAGATCACTGACCTCATTTTGGGTCTTGTACAGTTACACAATGCAATGCTTTTTGGTAAACTGCCAAGTCTCCTAATGCCAGGATATACTGAGATACAAAGGAAAATCCCAGATGTTCAAATGTCCCATGAAAGCTAGGACATAGATGCATGGGGCAGAGGGTTATGCTTCTCTTTTCAGCACCTTCTTTCCCAATCCCTGCTGATACCCCGTTGCTTGGTACACTTAAAGAAATGTTTCGGTATAGTGAAAAGCAATAATACTGCATCTGTTGTTGTATGCCCTTTCTTCTGGCAGGCTTTGCCTGAGAGACCTTATTTTTATTTGTTCCTTTCATTCTCTCTGAACTGAATATTGGAAAGTAAATATGGCCTAATATAAGATATAAATGTTTAAATATAGGTAAAAGTAACCTAGGTGATTATAAAATGAAATAACTAAACCTCACACTTGATTTTTGTTGGGAAAAAGAAAAAAAGGGCTGGTCTTAACCAAACTGGCAAGCATGAATTTCTGTTAGAAGACTGGACTCAGTCTTATTTTTGAGGAGTATGCTAAATGATGGGCTATCCAGACTTATCTTCAAGCTAACACACTTAACTGCTGCCTTAGCATCAGGACACAGATGGATGGGAAAGATGACCCTGACCTCCATAAGACCCACATTCCTGTGCAAGGATAGAAGCATGATAATCAGGAAATGATGGTTATTAGTTACAGAAAATGCATTATTGTGAAAACCAGGAGAAAAGTGCTTATGAGAGGAAGTGATTGGATTATGGGGGAATGAGAGAATAAGACTAGGTCATTTCTACTAAGTAAATTGCTATGATTTATAAGAGAAAGGGTATAGTGATATCATGGCCTTGTATTGACTAGATTAATTTCACAAACAAACCTAAATCAGAATGTGGCAGTTACCCACTGAAGCAAACACAGTTTTTAAAAAGATGGGTTTTGTAAGACATGAGACATGTTAGACACATTTCATTTTCTAGCTTTCTTTCTAATTATACAGGTTATTTAAGAAAAATGCCTAAATTTCAGTATAATTCAATTAATGTCTGATATTGTACTTTTTATGATGAAAATAAACCAGGTATTAACACTTACATTTGTTTTAGATCAGTACCTTAAATACAGCATACTCAATTAGAATTTTCTTGCAAAGATGTAAAAATGTATCAAATATAAACTGCATGTGCATATTATCCATATAAATAACATCAGGATGGATAATTTGTAGATTAGATTATGCTTTAAAATGATTTCACGCCATCATTGTCTAATGCATAAACCTAAATTGGCTTCTGAAAAAAGTATTGAGAGCTGATGGTCCATTAATGCTATAAAAAAGTAATGGAAAATTGTCCTTGGAAACTTGGTTGGTTTGGAAACTGAGGCTCAAGAAGCTATATATACCATTTTATACTGCTTTTCAGAAATTTCAGCTGGCAATAAAGGTAATACCACTGCCATCCATAGTTACCGAAGGCATTGTTCACAGTAAAAGACACTATTCGAGCAACAAGTCTGACACACATTACCTGCAAAATAAGCTTCATTTGCGCTAATTTGAGTTTTTAGGGAACATTTGCCCCTGTATTTTGTTGTATCTGTTCTAGCACCCCACTCGACAGCCAGCCTTCTCTTTCACCACCCCTCATGTGCTTTCATAGTTCATTCAGTTACACTCTTCATTCAGTTGTTCCGTGCTATTCAGTATTTTTGGGGACTGCTTCCAATGGTTGAATTTGATCCTGCCTACAAAGTCTAGTATAGTCCTGCTAATCCCAGCACAGCAATCTACCTCCTATACCCAACAACCTGAATTCTTCATAGCACCTTATCAACTCCCAAATCTCCCTGTTTTATTCTGCAACCATGGTGCAAAATTTTCACCTTCACAGTGCAAAATTTTACGATTTCTCCTCATTAATGTTGCACATAATTTCAGTAGCTACATACCTCCTTCGATGCTATTTTTCCTTTTCCTAACCTGTTTTCTACCTAACATACTAAGTAGCCTTGTTTACACTCCAATTTTCCTCATTAAGCCCTCTTGCCTAATGATTAATGGTGAAAAAATTCATGCATTAATCATGTTTGAGAAAAGAGACTACATCTTCTGATTAGGATAGGTATGATCACTTTTATCATTCTTTATAACAGGCTGTTCACTGATACTCTGTGTGTTAACCATAGCTGTATTTTTTTTGTGGTAGATAAAAAAAACAGGCATGATGAAGCCAAGTTCTGGAAATATGTACAAATCTGTTGTTGCTTCTATAACAGGCTGTTCACTGATATGTACCACAGTTGTCTTTTTTTGTAGCAGACCCAAAAAAAAGGCACCATGGAGCCAAGTTCTGGCATTATCTACAAATCTGTTGTCACTTCTATTCCAGATTTTATTTTCCTGAAATTTACCATGGTCATTATGAAAAAGTAATACCACTTACTGAGAACGGCTGTGTTGTTATTATGATTTCATTATTTTCTTATTCATGAATAAGAAATAACAAGGTTAATTCACATATCACCTTGACAAGAGGAAATTTTAGGAAAATCCCATTTCTTAATATGAACATTCTTGCCCGCTTACAATTCCTGTCACTTTTTCATGTGTGTTTTTCAGTTTCCCAACATGTTAAGAATAAGTTGAAATGAAACTTAGAAAATACTTTTTTTTTCTGTATAAAATTATTTGTACTAGTACTTTCCAACATTTCCAAATATTTTTCTAGCACAATTTCTTGTTCTTTGAATGATTCATTTGACATAAATATCTTACGCTTGTCTATTTGTCTAAATAGTTGTATATGTTTTGCTTGTGTCATGTAAATAATTTGTAATTAAAAACCCCTGTAATTTCAATTTAAGATGAAGTTGTAGGCTGTTCATACTCTAGAAAAGTTGTGGGAATTGCAATGAAAAATGCATTTCTAAATCACACTGTGTGCTTTATATATGAGAAAGAAAAAATGTTATAATTATTTAAGTGGCGTATAACGGTAAATCGGTGAAAAAATTATATTTTCAAATCGAAAAATAATCTCTACTGGCCACTAAAATTACTGGGTTATTTGTTGTGAACTTCTCTGGCCATGATTCACATACATATTTTTTCTACAGCTCCAGACGGTCCTCCAGAAAACGTGACTGTTTTAGCTACATCTCCTCACAGTATTAATGTCAGCTGGAGTGAACCTGTCATCCTTACTGGACCAACATGCTACCTCATAGACATTACCTCAGTAAGGCAACTCTGTTTTATTGTTGGTAGTAATACAGAAGTTTTGGTCATAAATACTGCAGCGGATGTTCTTACAGAAATTACAGACAGATATAAACTGGACTGAAAAACAATATGACTGTGTCTATTTCCACATAAACTCCACATAAGAATTAATTGTACACTTATAAATTTCTTAATGGGAGATAAATTAATTACTTGGTATTAAAAAATGTATGCTAATAAGAGGTCTTGGAGAAAAAAAAAAGTGTAGGTGTAAATGTATACAGGAAAACAGTAGCTGAGCTTTGCAGAGGTGTACCTCCTTCTAACAATAATGATACTGTTTACCAGTAAAATTAATAATGACTTTTTTTTTTTTTCTTCAAAGGAAGGAAAAGTTCATTGTCATGATTTTATAAACCAGAGTGGAGGGCCTAGCAAAAGGAAGTGACTTGTACAAAGTTACACAGTGCATCAGAGGGCAAACTTTAAAATCAAACTAAATTTCCCACTTTCCACTTGGTGGAAATGTTCATCAGATTAGCTGTATTTTGGTAGCACAGCAATAACACTTCTTTCTCCTTGATCTTTATAAGCACAAAAAAGGCTGACATAAGAAAAGCTCTAGTGGCCTTTCACTTTTCATGCTCTACTACCCTTATAATACTCCTTAAAACAACCATTAATAAACCTCATTTCCTGCCCTGTGGCAAGATATGAAACTTTCTAAATTTGAGCACATGGGAAGTTTTAAGTAGGATATAGGTTCCCTGTTCTTCCAGAAATTATACAGACAGGGCTGTCAATGAAAATGGTAAGGACTTTACCAGACTTTACCCAGGAAAACTTGCTGTTTACAGATTCAAAAATCCTGAATCAGCCTGTTAGATAATAATTAAATAATAA